AAAAAAACCTGAAGGCCCCCCCCCCCCCCCCCGCGGGGAAATTTCTGAAAGAAACACTGTTCGTGAGGGGTGGGGGTGGCAACATCAAGTGGGAGTGTTGTCCGAATCTCTATATTGCTTCTCGTCACTTGATGAGGATTTATTTAAACGTAAATACGATAAATTCAGCTATTTTAGCAGTTAGTATTTTGAAATGTGTGTGTTGATGAACGGACGGCAAAGCTACGTATCAGAGATTTAACCAGTGGTAACAAAACAAACAAAAATGAGGAAAACATTAAATTAGACAATCCAGTCACTAAGTTAAAGAAGCATTTATTTGAAAAGAAAACATGTGACGAAAATAGGTAAGAAAAAGTGTCGATACAAAGAATTCAAAACGATTATTATAAAGGAGAATTTAAAATAACCTGAAGATATAAATGCAAAAGACAAGCGCCGGTTATTTTAAGGGCAAAATAAGAGTTTCAAAATATGCATCCCTTGAAACCTATACATCCATCCATCTCTGTGGCGCTACAGCCCATGTAGGGCTTTGGCCTGCCTCACCACTTCCTTTCATCCATCTCTGTGGGGCTATATAGCCAATGCAGGGAATTGGCCTGCCTCACCATTTCCTTGCACTCAGACGTAACTGGTGCTTTTCATTTTCATGCTTGGATTCCCAGCTGCTGTAGATCTTTTTCCACATCGTCTATCCATCTAAGCCTAGGTCTGCTTTTGAACCGTTTTTCTCTGGGGTTTTGGTGGCGCACACTAGTCACTCCTCTGTTATTGGGCATTTTTTCTGAGTGTCCCGCCCACTGTAGTAGCCTGCCCTTTTTAAATTTCTGCTACTAGCGTGTGTTCCTGATATAGACTGCACAATACCTGGTTGTTTCTTGTTCTCCGTCCATATTTAATTTATACTTTTTTGGCCCGTATAATTTCAGGAGAACTTCTCTCTCCCATGTGTTTAACAGGTTTTCTTCCGTTTTTTGTTAGTGTCCACATTTCACTTGCAATAATAATATGTTACAACTGGTCTGATTACAGTTTTATAAATAGTTTTCTTTGTTTTTCTTGTAATGTTTTTACTTTTGAGGGTTTCTTTGTTTGAAAACCTACACATTCAGACGTATTCATATTCAACGAAGTGAAGGGTGCTTAACTTCTGATACGAGATAATTTATTTCGGGGCTTTTGTAACTACGTTAAGGCTCGAGAACCAAAGACTTACATTTTTACCAAAATGAGCTCATTTATTATTGAAAGATCGTCAAACCATCTCAATGAGATGGATTCATCTGACACTGACTTAACCAATTCAACATTTTATTGTAATGGAGGAGTTAAAAGGTTGTTTTCAATAGGTGTATTAGAGATATTTTTATATAATCCGTAGACAATAACAAAATGTTGGTACAACAAACTCATATTTTCGTCATATTATGACTTTCAACAAAAAATCTCGGTACAATAATTTACGACAATGAAAATCGATGCTATATGGGGTAGTCGTAATCAGAATTTTCCTTTGTGGCAAATATAATCAAAATGGCTGACGAAGGCGTAAGCAAACCCGATTCCGATGAAATAAAGCCTATAAAAAATGCTACTGCTTTAGTACCAGATGACAAGATGAGACAAGACAGAACACAGAGACCAAAAAAGGTATCCATATTTTATTCATTAAATTGTGTTAACAATTTAATTTAGCTCCTACCACGAATCATATGTTGATTGAGATTGTCTTAGAATTTTATTTCAAAATATTTGGTTGATGATAATTAAATTAATGATATTATTATTATTACTAATACTAATGACTGATAATGACACTCATGGCACTAATGACAGCCCAACTGATATCGATATAGTTAATATAATTACAGGCAGACTGCAATGCATCCTTAAGTCTAAACATGTACACAGTACTGTCAGTATAGACTGTGTAGTGACGTTAACCCTCTTAAGATGGCTGGGCCGATCTATGGCCCCAGAGTCAAATGGCTGAAAAGACGAAAGGCAGATCCCTAATAATAAAATTCTCAAAATTGGCTGGATGCTCTTACTCTTTGCACCTGATAATCAGATTGCTTCTCTAATAATTACTAATTACTTGCTCATCACGCAATTTTAATGGTTGCTTCCATTGTCATGGTTGATAGTTTACAAGTGTTTTGTCATTTAAAATCTAATTTTTGTGTGTGTATATGATGACCCCTTTTTAAAAGATGTGACCTTGAAATATGCCAAAAAGACACGTGCAGCCCTAGGGGAATATTTTATGCAGTTTTTTCACATTGAATTTCGTTCAAATGTTTGTTTTGAAAATCATAAAATTTAACAAAGTTCTGCAAGTAAGACATGCTTATACTACATTTAAACAACAATTGCAAGCATAAATTATGCAAATCAGGATATCTCATATGCTTCAATGATTAGATTTCAGTTTGATTCATAAAGATTGCAATAGTTAATTCAATTCCCTACAAGAATACATAGTTAATTTTAATTAATTTTTCTGCAAAGTCAGTGTAGGGCTTGTGAAAATGTCTCCATCTTCTTGGCACCGACATCCCAAAATTTTTGTCTCAAGAGGGTTAAATTAATTGCGCTCATCCCCATTCCTCTGGTAACCTTGGCTTTGGTAAAATATAATTTAAAGGAATTTAATCATTTTTTTTCAACATTGAAATCTAAATAGCACTTTAATTTGATTTTATGCATAAAATTGGATTTTTTTCCTTGATGCGTCCATAACTTTTTTGGTCCATTTTTTTACCTTCCTTCTCCCCCCTTTTTCATCAGAAATCATCATGAAAGAATTTAAAAATAGACACCCTCGTTACAATATCGTAATGTTCTCATATACAGAATCTATACATTAGTACATTAAAAAAGATCAAACTTTCATACCCCATCCACTGCTGCCAAGGCTTTGCGAAGGATGATAATGGGGACACCAGCCCAAGGCGTCAACCTTAAGAGGGAGACAAAATCTCCTTTTTCCATGTAAAAATGTGTTATTATTACATAGTTTTTTGGATGACATAACCTTCTGCCTAATTATGTCACAAGTTACATCACACAGTCACATGCACAAAAACATTGGCACCCTAAGGTTTCCAAAGTCGGATTCTGACAAGCTTGGCCAGTCTTAACCAGTTTTCTTGGAAGTGGATGAGATGTTTTTTTGAAATTATTTATCTTATCCACACTGGGGGCTGGAAATAGGTTATGTGAGCTTTTCTTGGAATTACCTGTTTTCCGGATTTTCCAACATTTTTGTTAAAAATGCTCTGATGTCAACTCTGATGACCATCCATGCTGGACCTGGACCTGACTGTAAAAGAAAATTCTGTCAGTCAGTAAACTCCTGAAAAAACCGGTTCAACTGGTCAAGTTTTCCAGAATCTGATCTGGCATCTTTGGAAGCCTCAGGGTGCCAAATTTTGTCACTGTACCAATATTGCATCTTGAAAATTATTGATTGATAATTAAATACGCTAAAATGATAGTGGATGTTTGGAGATATAATTTTATTCTCTAAAATGATACTTTACCCTCTGCTTCTTTTACTGTTGCATATAAGGCACCATAATTATATATAAGGACACAAAAAAGATTGATTATTCACAATATTGCAATCTGATGACAATGTTTTGTTACGCGTGAACGGGCCAAAAGTATAATTTAAAAAAAATCATTACATGGTAATAAAAAGATGGTAATCTTTCATTTTAGTGCAGATCAATGCAAATGTAAAAACATTTTTTTTTGTTTTACAGCTTATTTTTTAAAATATAAATAATCAACTTATTTTATTCTTAGCTCTCTGCAGTCCGACTATAGAGAAATGGTACTTATATGTACCATAGATTTTGTGGGTGGGTTATTTATTTTTTAACTTTTTTTTTTATTGCAAAAAATTATTTATTATATTTTAATAATTTGTTTCATTGGTCTAAGTATTTGTAAAAAAATTAAAATTATTACAAAATTTGAAATTACTATTTAAAAAAAATATTTTTGGAAACTTATTCAGCGCGGAGTATCCCTTGAAAGCTTCGCAGATTTCCAAAAAAACAAAAAATATAAGTGTCACAAAAAAAATTAAATAGTAGTATGAATATTGTCAAATGATTTTAATTTCCCGATTTATCAAGGAGTTATTTGTTTGTCTAAAGCAATGTATCCAAATGGAGACTCTAATCATGAAATTTATCACGATTTGCATATAAAAGTACCGACTAATGCTATCGTAAACAAGTAAGCTTAATTTTAATTATCATTTCCCGACTTTAAAATTAATAATAAAACAATAAAGTGATATTTTTATAATTTTAATTGGCTGAAGTATATATTATCCATTTATACTTACATTGATATATTCTATTTGAATTTTATTGAGTTTCAATAATTATATAATAAATATATAGCGTCGCTATGCGAAATAAATATTTAAAAAAAATAGCGGAAAATTTCGGCCGATGGGAACTTGCGTAATTAAATAAATTTAAAGTTAAGGACTTCTGAGTTATTAACTAAATATATTTCTTTAAAATATGTTACAGCCAAGAATAATCTTCTAAATTTTCTAATATTGCATAGTAGAAATGTGTTTAAATTTAATTATCATTATCGCTAGTCACTAGTATTAGTAGAGACTACTGTCGGCAGAATAAAAAAAAAAACATTTATGTTTTTATTAAAAGCTCTCTAACTCTATTGGGAAGGAGGAGAGAGAGACAAAAATGCAAATATTGGATCAAGAAGCCCTTATTCCTTATTGATCCTAAATATTAAGCCTGGACTCCACCCTTTTACTGAGTTACAGAGTTACTGGATGGATATCTTTGAAGATTTTACCCTAAAAACAAGTGGTGGTAAGTTTTAATCTAATCACTTGGTAGCAAAATGCATAAAGAATAAACTCACAATATTGTTATAACATATGTTATAATGTATTTTCTATGTACAATGGTTTACTTTTATACTAATTTAGGCACTTGGACTAGGATTAATGGTATTTTCCCTTACTGATAGCATACCATTACTGATACCATTAGTGTTAATTTATTTATGAATCAATCAAATTTTTTTTTCCACAGGTTCTTTATTGAGTGAATATTCTGTGGTGAAAAATCTTACCTAATCTTATGTAGAAATCAAGTCCAGGACAAGCTCTTATTTATCAAATATAATTATTATAATAAAACTGCAGACTGTTTTAAGAAATAATATTTGTTCAGAGTCCATAAATATAATTAAGGAATACTGTAGTTTATCAGCCTGTGTTATGTGAGGATTATAACAAAGATATATAAAAATGCCGGTACATGGGAAAAAATAGATCACATTAGTGAGGAATGGATTGTATTTGACATTAATATCAAAATTAGCATTATTGTACTGATACATTTTAATTTTTTTTAACTTTAACATCAGCGAATACCGCTATTTTAAAATTAAAAAAAAAAAAATTGACTCTTGTTTTGAGTTATTTATATATTCATCAAATTTTACTTAGTCATCTTTTACTCAAGAATTATTAAGAAATATATTTAATATACAAATCTATAAGCTATGAGACCCATTTTTTAAAATATATTACATACAAAACATAATTTTCATTAAAAGAAAAATTATAGTGCATTTTTTAGGAAAAAAAGACAAAATATAGGTTTTGCTAAAATGTTGACAACTTTTTGATTGTTCAAAGAATTTTTGTCATGTTTGACTATGAATTGTATAAGTTGATGAAGTATTTTATTTAAATAAATTTTAAATCTTTTATAACAAGGATTTTTTTTTTCCTTCATACTGTGTAAAGATTTGGTCAAATTTTTGCATAAAATGAAAAAAAATAATTCTCCAATAATGTTTCAATTATTTTTATAACTAAGAAAATAAAATATACAAAAAATATCTAATGATAGCTGAGTCAAAGATGAACAAGTTAATATATTTAACTGATCAGATCAGAGCTATTTCAGATCAGTTAATTAATTATTTTAAAAAATCACATTAAGATTTTTAAGAAATGTGAAAAAAACGTCAGACTGCAGAGAGTTAGAAGGATTTTATAAGTTAAATACCATCTTTAAAAAAGAAAAAGAAAAAAAAGTCAGACAAATTGTGCAAAAAAAAAAAATAAAGTACACCTCCTGCATTCGTTGTTATTCGTGCCACCATTATGGTAACATGGAGAATTCAGAAACTCTGCCTACATGTGTAAATAGTTACATCGAAGTATCATTTGATTCAATGTTGGCCTTGATAAACGCCTAATTAAGGTGATAAAGGTAATAATTGTGAAACTAGGCAACTGCTTAAGGGACCAGTTCACTATTTATGTAATATATAAACACAATTTCTTATAATCGTCTCCAATTCATTTTAACATAATTCCTTTACAAAATCATACAAGGATTTACAATAATTTTTAAGCAGGACTTCTGTAAATATGTCATTGAACAGGAAGTCAAATTTTTATATGTTTTTCTATTAATTTTTTTCTGTTTACAGACTCATCTTTTACAATGGATGGAAATAACGGTAACAGAACCAGAGAAAAAGACCATAGCATCCATGAAAATGCAGGATACATTTGTTGTTTATCTTATTGAGACAAGGTAAATGTGTAAGAGGAGTATACTTTGAATTTTCCATTTATAGAAGTCACATGCATTGTTAAAAATCTTCATAAAGTCTTTATTTGAAAACCATAGCTGTAAATTCTTCAATTATAAAGCTGTAATCTTACTATGCCACTCACAGCATTGGGGGATTTATCCTTAAATAACTTAATTTTGGCTAAAGAAAATATTTATTTTGTGTCATTCTTATATTAAAGTTTGGTCATGTAATATTTTAAGGGTAACAGATGAAAATATGCAAGGTTATGGAGAGGGTGCCACCTCTGTATGGAGAAGATATAGTGAGTTTGAACTTTTACGCAACTATTTAGATGTCACATTCCCAGCTGTGATTGTCCCTCCACTTCCAGAGAAAAAGGTGTGTATAATTAATAAATATTAAAATTGTTTAGTTTATTTCATCAACAATTTAATGAATATTTAACTAATCTGTAATTTTTATCTTTAATTGATTGCTAAAAAAAAAAGGGGAATTCGTTTAAAAATTAAAGTAAAAAAAAAATGAAATTGAGATGGAATTTTAAGGTGTTGAGGGCTTTTAAAAAAAAATTATATTTTGAAATTTACCGCTATTGCAATTGAAATCGACCACTAGCTTTACTTCTAAAGATTTAAATATATTATCAAATACTTTTTGCACTTTGATAACTATCTTGTCTTTTTATTATCTTTAATATCATTTTATTTTAATGTAAACTAATTTTCTAAAGTTCATTTAAATAATTTTTTTTTTTTTTCCAGACAACATATGCCTGGCAGAATGTGTCTATGGATCGATTTGACCCAGATTTTATTGAGCGTCGAAGAGCTGGACTTGAGGTAATGTTTTAAAGCTTGAAAATCAAAAGACTTTTTACTTTATATAATTTTATCTTAGTCATATCAAAGTCTTTAAAGATTAAGCCATTTTTGTCATAAAGATACAAAATAAAAATATTTTTAAAAAGTGATAATGTTTTTAATCTTTCAGATCTTCCTGCTTCGTTGTGCTGCCCATCCTAAGCTTTGCCAAGACAAAATCTTTATGGGATTTTTACAACAGGTTAGCTCTTACAAATATGGAGGAGATATATTTTTAGAATCTTATCAGAAAGTTGGATCTTTCTTAAAAAAGAAGATTTGAAAAGCATTTGATTTTAGTGTACATATTTTTTTGTAACTATTTAGGCTTTATTATTTATTACTCAGTGATAATAAATGTGCTTGTAACTGTAGCATCTGCATAATAGCTGTATTTATATCTAGATTTAAACATGAATCAGATTTTAGATGACCAAGTTAAGTGCTTCCCTATAGAAAATAACATATTTTGATATTTGGTATAGGAACAAGGTTGGCGGGATACAGTGAATGCAACAGACTTCTATAGCAAAGTAAGTAATATCATAATTTCAAAACCTCAAGAAACTTTAAAATTAGTTAATATCCTTCAATTACCTAGAAGGCTTCATCAGAACAAATAGCCCTACTCGATAATCATAATTTCAAGGATTTTGATATGCATTTATTCAGAGACTAATATTTCTAATATACTTGTAACTTTTTTGTGTACTTCATTGGGAAGTAACATTATTTATAAATTGAACCCTGGGGATGTAATACAGATTTTGTTGAACAATTATTTTGTTGTTATTTAATTGAACTATACTAATTTTAATTATCTGTTAATAAATCATGTTGATAAAATAGTGTGCTTCATTGTGTCTATAACTTTTTAAGGGAACTATGAAATATTTGTAAAAAAAATTTTTGCCACAACAGGCTGAGTCCAGATTAAAATCCCTAAATGCACAGTTTAGGCTCAAAAAGTCAGACAGGTATTTTGCTTTAATATTGTAATATAGAAAAATATGAATTGTTAGAATAATCTCTGCCAAAAGCTACCATTTCTGTTTACAGCTTTAAGCAATTCAGATATAATTGAAATAAAGTTCTGATCTATTTCATAAGCAAGGAAATCAGTTGCTTAATTAGCTATTATTTTTTTCTTTAAAGCTAATCAAATGATGTTGTTTTTTTTTTATCCTCGCAAGTTAAACACATTTTATATGATTTTTGTTTCTTTTTTCATTAAAAATCTCATTTATGTCTACAGACGCTTTGAAGAACTGAAAAACTATTGCACAGAGCTACAGAGTAATATAGGGAACATTCTTAAGATTCGAGCTGTAAGTTCTTTCAATTTGAATCCATTTTGTATCCATTTATAATTAGTTGCTCACTGTTAATCTCTTTGGATCTTTTTTTTTTTCCATGTGATCTAAATAATTTTAGATGCAACTTTGTTTCAGCTAATTAACTTATGCTATTTTTGTTTGAAAATAACCTGCACACTACTCTTCTAGCGTCTATGTGATAAACTATATGGCATACACAAGGTCCATGGTAACTATGCTCGTGTGTTTAATGAATGGAGTGCAATAGAGAAAGACATAGCAGAACACCTACAGAGTGCCAGCCATTACATGGATGTGTAGGTTACTTTTATATTTTAACTTTTGAGTATTGTAAAAAAAATTGTATGTTCTTTTCAGAGAAACTTATCTTCATTTTATTTTAAAAATAAATTTTTTACTGTACAAACTGATGTCACTGCATTATAAGAGATTCTCTATATTATGTGATTTACCATTTATTGGCACAGAAATTAGGAAAGCCATTAGAAAATGCTTGGTTTAAAAAATGTATTTAATGGGTAACCAAGCTTTTTTTTTTACCTTTCTTGAAGAGCAAAAATTTTCAGTTTTATATTTTGAAAAAAAATATGTCAATTGTTTTAGAACTTAATAATGCTGTTAACCAACCACCAATCAGTCCTTTTTTGGTGGGTATTCATACTAGTTAAAATGATTTAGATAAAAATATTTTAAAATTAAAACTTCACTGATTATTATTGATATCTGTTTTCTTCATTTCCTAATAGATATGCATCATCAATAGATGCTCAGTTAGAGGATGAGGAACAATATGCTGATCAGCTGAAGGAGTATAATTCATTTGGAGATTCAGTCAGGTGTGTAGATTAAAAAAAACCCATAAAACATGAATGTTTTTTAAAGGAAAGCAGGTTAGCATTTGCTCAAATAGTTTTAATTTGATCACATTGGCACATGAAAATTCATCTTTTTTATAGACTGGCCAAAGTTTAAGGGAGATTTTAGACCCAAACTTATAGCATTTTTCAAATTATAGTTGGTAACTTAACAAGTTTGTCCATTCTTCAAAAAGGGTTATGTAAGAAAAATCATCTTAAAATCATAAGTGTTTCATTTTTGTTTTGACTATTAATTTTTTACTTTAAGATATTGATAGTTGACAATCATATTACTGTGTGAAAGCATTGGGGTTAGGGTAAGCATACATCTATGTAAAGACATTTAATGTGTCACTGTTGTTCAGAGCTTATTAGTTTTTGATCATAAATAGTAAAACAGATTAGCAATAATCAGAGATATTATTTATTTTTTTAACCCTATTGCAGTTGTTGGCTCTTCTTGTCAAAAAAAGTCCTAACCAAAAGTTTTTTTTAACATTCAGGTCTGTGTGCAGAAGATACGAGTGTGCTCAATATGATCTGGAAAAAGCAGAGGATAATCTTGCCACAAAGACTAATCAAAGAGATCTCTTGGTAAGGCTTTGGTAAAGAGTTTCTCTAGAAAGAATTATATCTAATCAATATACATATGGATTATGAAGAGACGGAAAATGGCTGATTATTTTAAATGAAAAGTGACATAAAATGGATTACTGATTACATGCAGGGATTAACTGAAAAACTTGTTTAAATCAAGACAGATAATGCATTATTATACTCATTGGATGTAAACAAGAATTATTTACATCTTCCCAGTCCTTGTGGCTTTAAATTTTAAAAAAATTACATCAAGTAAAGCTTTTATTTGAAGGTTAAACTCATCTTGTTTTCTACAATTTTTAAGTAACATGTTTAACAGTAATAAAAATCAGACCAGACTCATGGTAAATTTACTAATTTTAAAGTTTGTGTACAGTTACTTATCCCCCAAAAAATAATTATATAACCGATCCACACTAAGGAAATATTTTTCTGAAACAGATTTAAGAGTTAGTGATTAAAAGATTTGAGATCTCGGAATAAAAATCTAAAGAAATATAATTTGAAGTTCCATCAATAATCATATGTATGCCCACCAAGGCAAAAGGTTTAAACTTATGAGAAATACTAAAATTAACATTTGTAAAATATTTATGATCTAAATCAAAAACTGCACACTGCTTTTAGTTTATTTTCGTAGTCTGGCGACATCTTTTTTTTTTCTTTATCCAATCATGCTGCTATAAATAGAAACAGGCCATGGCTGAAAGCCCTGTTTCGGAAGAGGTAAAGGTAGATCAATCCAGTCTGAGCACTGCATCCTATGGAGAGGAAAAAGGGGCTTTTTGTGCTGAAAAAATTGAACATATGGCTCCTTTTAACTCTGATGATCTTTGATGTTGTCCTAGTAGAATGAAGACCAATATTTATATTTATTTGATTTTTAATTTTTAAAGAACTACAGGTTGTTTTTTTTTAATTAAAAAAATAATTAAATAGCTATTATTGTATAATGGAGAATCACTTTGAGTAATGCATTACTTTGGGGATGAAGCATGATTTTCAAATAATATTTATTATTATTATTATTAAAAATGCTAAGATCATAATGTCAATTAGATAAATTACTGCAACAGGGAGTGAGTGTTAATGTTCAATTTAAGTATTTGGTTATAATTAAATATTATAGGACACATTTAACTCTTTTGCTGCTGAATTTGTTTATCAAAAATATTTTAATTTTTATAAGAGAGCAAAAAAGAGTGAGTGGTTGGGTTTATTAAAAATTATTTAAAGTATTATTGTTTGGTTTATAAGACTAAACTTGGTATCACATGAAAGATAATTGAATGGACTATATGTTTGTAACCTGATTCCTTCAGTTTAACTAAAATAACATAAGAGAACCATAAAATGTGAAAACATGATATGCAATTCCCTTTTTTCATCAAACCCAATGATGTACACATACCTCATCTTCACTTCTATAACTCAAATCCTCTAAAACTAGTACTATCAGAATCATGTGATGGCTCTAAAAAATTAATCATATTCATCATCAGAAGAAATAGTATAAAACAATTACAAAGCTTTTTGAGTTGTTAATCGTCTAGGAAACTTACTCACCTGCTAGGGCCTAGGGTAGCATCAGCAATAGTAGAACAAAATAGTGAAGAAAATCATTAAAATAATGCTTCAAATGACAACAAATAAAACTTGGTTTCGCGTATAAACAATGAAGTACCACTCTTCTATATGTAAAAGTCTTATTTAAAAATAGCTCTTAAAAAGTTTAACTGAGAAAGAGTAAAGAAAAAAACATGTTATTGAAAGAACTCTGAGCACGGCGGTCCATGCTTTTTAGAACGGTGGATGAACGCACTGCACCGCAGCTAAAGAGTTAAGAAATCAATTTCATGGCAAGCAAGAGAGTTTTGTTTAAAAAAATAATTATCCAACCAGTTTAATGTGTATCTCTTAGTGCTTAATAGCTAAAGTAGAAAATGGTTGATAACAGAATTTTTTAGTTAAATTTCAGAAATTTATTTGTAGAATTTCAGAATTTATTTAGGTTGCATTTTTTTTTTAATTGTTGATTTAGACTACTATGAAAAACTGTAAAATTGCCTAAACCAGTCAGTACACTGCATGCCATTTGTGTTGTGGATCAACACTCCATGTTAGGTAGCATTTCCATGAATGATGTGATTGATTTATACTGGTTGATACTTTAAGAAATTGAAAATCTTTTATTGTGTTTGGTTCACTTTTTAATCAATTCTTTTTTTTTTTCAATGCAAGCATGCTGATAAATTTAATACGAGTTTTCCCTGAATGATAAGCATTGCTTTTGATAACCTTTTTATGTAATCTATGACATCTGGCACCTTCTGTGCAATCGATGTATGCAGGATTTTATGACTGCAATCTGATAAATGATTTTTACATTGGGGTTATGATCTTGTTTTATATATATAATTATATTGAAGGAGGCATTTTAAAATCCCTTTTTCATTTGTTTCTGAGTTGGCTATTTAATAAGACTGAAAAATGTTAACATATATATTTTTTTGGCCTTGTTTGGAATAAGAAACTTCATCTAAAAGCTTGATCACACTTAATTAATATACCTTACTAAAGTAATTTTTTTTTCTGGCAGTCTATAATCCTTGTTTTTATTTTGTGAAGACAACAGGGCAGTTTGAAATTAGTTTTCCCAGAAATTAACTTGTAAATATATTCAAACTTATGTCCTGCCAAGTGTGGAGAACAAAATCACATTCTTTTCTACACGTGACTCATGTTCATTATGATTTATGGCTGATGCAAACAAGATAAGAAATATACAAATTTAAATTTAAAAAATTTTAAATTTTAAAAACTCAGTTTTATGATAATATATGACTTAGGCTCCAGATATGAATAGACAGGGGCTCCAGCCATGAACAGACTGGGGGCCCCAGCCATGAAGAGACTGGAAGGAACTGGGGCTCCAGCTGACTTACGATTTCTCTGAAAGTCAAATCCACTTTGAATATTCTTGTAATTAAGATTAAAATCAAACAATAATCAACATGAAATGTTTTCCAAACAGGCCAACAACCAAGCTAAAAGTGGTTTCTCACTGAGTGGCATGAAAAGTAAAATATTTGGGAGTGAGACACCTGAGCAAAGGGAGGTAAAGCTAAAGCAGTTGGAAGAGCAAATCGTTCAAGCAGAGGCAGAGGTTAAAAAAGTGCAGGAAGAAACTGAGTGAGTTGTCGGGGGGGGGGGGTGTTTGATAACATTTGTTTTTTGGAATCGGCAAGGGAAAAAAAAAAATCACAGATTTTAAATATAAGAACAAAAATTTAAAGAACATTCTAATCATAATTTGTTTTTAAATTGTTTGTGAAAATGGTTTAATTTAAAATTCTAGTTTTTTCTAAAATGGGTCATTATCTTCATGATACAACAATATTTTAAATAAAAGTTATATGCTGTGGTGATTTGTCCATTACAAGTTAAATAAGGTGAAATAAAAGTCTCAAATAAACCTTAACCATGAGAATTTTTAAAGGATTATTGCAAATAATATTGTCATCACTCTCAATCTTCAGCGCAGTTGATCAAACATTTTGTTCCTCAATTGAAGCTGCTCTTTGTATTAAAATAAGTGTTTCAATGAACTCCCCATCCAGAATATTTGTAGAGCAAGCTTTGAGAGACATTGACAGATTCCAGAGACAAAAGACAAAAGATTTGCAAGAAATTTTCACCAACTATGCTGTACTTCAGATCAAACAGTGCAAAAAGGTATTTGTGTGTAATCACTTGTTTTTGCCTCTATCATGCATTAATAAGCTGCAACGGAGGAGACAGTTTTATTAAAGTAACCTCAGAATTTATTGGTCATAATATAAATAGTACCCTTTAAATGTGTACTTGTGAGAAAACTCTTAAACTGTAGTCTGAATAATAATTTTTTTTTTCCTGACATGGTTTCTGTAATTATCAATAGGAAACACATGTTTTTGCAATAAGATACACATTATGTTATTAAAAAGGCAACACATTGACATGATAGAGATTAACTCATTTTAAAATTATCATTCAGGCAAAATAAAACATCAGATGAAGACAAAAATTGAGTGTGTTGACTTATACTATACTAAAAAATTGAGCACCCTGTTAAGGTTATTCTTCCTTGTCATATTTCAGGGAATCGCTATATGGACCAGTGCCAAAGACTGCTTCAGTAAAATGTAACTTATTATAATGATCAATAGTTTTCTCTGTCTCTGGACGATGACATTTTATGACACAGGATATCTCATTGAAAGTTGAATCATGTTTCTGTCAATACTCGATCGTTCATCCTTGATGTTCTGATAAACTGACTTTGAGATTATTTGCGCCCTCCCCCCCCCCCTTCCCCCCACCCTACCAAGAAATTAATGGCACTTCAACATTTTCAAAACTCCCACTGCTTGAGTCAGTGGTGTGATGGTAAATTTTTCAGTAGGCCCGTGGAAGTTTTTAAAATTTATAATTTTTTTAATAATTTTAAAGTAGAGACTTAGTTTTTACTTTTAATTAGTTTATTTCTGAGCAATTTTCTAAAAAACAGAAATCACCGGATTGATTTTTTAATCCTTTGTATTAACTTCCCTTTTGTTCGTGGGCTGCTGGCAAAATCTTGGACGGCAAATTGACACACTTTCCGTCAAACTATCAAAACTGAAACTTGGCATATAGACTTGTTGCAAATAACAACATATTCTTTAAAATATTCAGCCCCACCCCCAACCCCCAAAAATAATTTTTTCCTGTTTTTCAACGAGAAGATAAAATAAAATTTCCGATAACTGCGCGAAATGAAATTCTTTTTTTAAAAAAATATCTCATGTGCGTTTGTTGCCTAATATTTTCTTTTGTTTTTCTAAAATCTTTGGTGAAATAAATCTTCTGTGTAACAGCAGGTGGGTCATTAGAATATTAATACAGTTCAGGGGCATGAAAAAAATGTGTTGTTAGGCTTGAGGCGGGGAACACTAATTGGGGTTCTTGTAAAGTGCATTACTTGTATGCATGTTCTGTCTAATTTCCGCCGCCCGCCCCCCCCGATTTCTGGAAATTACATTTTATAAAGGATTTATAGGAAAATCTTTGTTTTTAGGGGTTGTTTCAAGCTACATATTTGCTTCAGTGGCAAATTCTTTAATCTGTCTTCTGGTTATTTTGTTGGATCACATTATTTGATGTGCTTAAGAGATGCTGGCACACACACCAGTGTTTAAAAACACATCATTCAACTTTCATGCAAGCTTGCAACAGTTAGTGTCATCTTATATATGTATATTAGAATCTGTTGCATTATATCAATGTCAAGTTTATAATAATTCACTAGCTGCGAGATTTATAGCAATGACTCTGACAAACATGTGCAATACATTCCCTATTATCTCTGTGTGTTATGCATTTTGAAGGCTTTTTAGTCCGATCTAGTCAAGACTTTGTGCATTTGAAATGAGATGTGTGTATATATATCAGATTTCAATGGCATTAGTGTGATTGTTAGTTTACATTTTTTTTTACAATGTTTCTGAGTCTTGTTTTGTGGGATGTTTTTCATTCATATTTTTGAAGTGATTTTATTTGTTATTTTTGAATGGATGGACATCACTGATTATAAATCATTTATGTAGTTTGTTACACCTGCAATTCGTTTAATGTTGGCAGATCTGATTAAATACAGGTATTGTATACCTGAATGTAATGTAAGCAGAATGAAGTAAGCAAACTAGACCATGAGATGAGCTGGTAATTGTGGGTCCTTATGAAGCAAGTTTTATGGTACTAATTGAAGTATTATTGGCGCAAATAAGTATTTTCAAAGTCATAACCTTTAAAATTGTTTAACTTAAGTAAACGTAAAGTTTCATACAAATATTCATTTACAACTGTTTTAAAAAATGAATTCATTACTAGAGATAAAGACATATTGTGTCTAGATCCCCAGCTTGTAATTTCCTGTGATATAAGTTGTGCAGTTTTTACAACACTCAATGTCCATTCTTAGTAAATTTTAAAATGGTGAATGTGTTTGCAAATGAAAAAAGTGTACATTTATAAAGAATAGTTTCATAAATATACATAAGATGCATATTTAGAAAATTATTTAACAAACTTAAGATCACTGTAATGCGGTGTAAAGAAGACATATTGCTACTTACAATCTGGTTTAATTTGTGCTGAAATCCTTTTTTATCAAATTTTTGGACTGTAAAATATTTTTATGACAATTTGCCGAATATGTTTGTTTTAATGTAAACATGGAATCAGTTCAGTACACATATATTTTTTTTCTTTACATTTCTATGCTAAATGCATTCTTAAAACAAAAACACATGCATTTGATAGTTTTCACTTAGCTGCTACTTTTAGTAGTTGTCACTTAGCTGCTACCCTTATAAGTTGTCACTTAGCTGGCACTTTATAAGTTGTCTTTTAGCTGCTTCTTTATAAGTTGTCACTTAACTGCTACTCTATAAATTGTAATGGTCAGTTAAGTTAGTTTCTACTTTATAATCAAGAAAGTAATAATTAAGTGAACTTTAAAAAAAGTACATAATTTTAAAAAAAAATAATTTTCTATTTAATGTACAGTTTTTTCTGCTTTGTTATTTTTCTTGTTTTTTTTTTTTTTTTTTTGTTGCTATGTAAAGTCTATCCAACATTTACATGTGCGTAACCAACATTTTAGGTGTTAGAGTGGTTGACTTAAAGACACTGCATTCTCAATATTGCATGATAATTTTTTATTTTTCTTGTTTTTTTTTTTTTTATTTTGTTGCTATGTAAAGTCTATCCAACATTTACATGTGCGTAACCAACATTTTAGGTGTTAGAGTGGATGACTTAAAGACACTGCATTCTCAATATTGCATGATAAAGATTGTCTTCTTGATAGTTTCACGTTAATCTATAGTGGTTGGATGTGTACAAATAGCAGGTAACAATTATAAATTGGTAACATATATTTGAGACTTAGTTGTTTTTATTTTGTTTCTTTGGTTGATCTTTAATTGCATTTATGGATCATTACATTAAAAAAAAATCAAAATGTTTTATTTTTACTAAAAAATTTTTAAAGACAACATATTGTTTGATCTAGTTGAAAAGCTTTCTAATTTTTTTATTACCTTTACCTGTTGCAAATTGGGCAACTCTGTGTTGAAGTTCTTTATCGAACTGGTAGCCAATATGTTTGCTTATTAAGTAATCCTTATTGGTAGTTGTGAAACTGCATTTTTTAAATTCTAAGATATTCATGGAGCAAGAGATGTGCTGTCAAGGTTGTTTTTACAATTATATTCCTGTGTCTAAGATACATTGCTGTATCATTTGTTCTTACTTTTTAATTTTTTTTTCATAAATTATATATTCTACATTTACTTAAAAGTTGCATCAAGAAATCTGCTTTCAATGAGATCAATGAAGATTTTTAACTGTCTTTTGAATATTTATCAAATTGTACCTCCTATTGCTTATATAGAATATGTTCCAATTAAGACTTATTTTGTTCTGTTTTACTTAATGCAACATATAACTTGTTTTAATCCCATTTTAAAAAAAAAAAAAGTAGCAGAGCTACTATTATTTTGCTATTATTCCTTTATAAAGAACCCTTAACAAAGGGCCGATTATGTAAATATATACATGGAGGTTTTACTAAATATACCATATATTGAAAAAAATACAGCAGAGAAATGGACAAGTAAAATACAATTTGGCACATCAGGTGAGAGCCCACTTCAACCCCCCTTCACTTGGCCCTTGTCCTCCGAGTGGGTCTTGAGACAAATCAGGTCGCCTGACACACTTATCTGGTATCTTTTTGCATCATACCATTTATTTTTTCTCATTCTGAATTATCTTTTCTGGCAAATGACATCAATACAAAGATAAATCGCCTACAGACATAAGGAGTGGTCCATGATCTTTAAGAAAAAAACAAAAGAACTCTTTTCGAACAAAAAGCAACAATTGTTCAAAATTACAACTTGCATTCAGGAACTCAACAGATATTCTTACCGCACAATTAGGTGATGAAAGTCTTGCTGCAGGTTAATTTTAAGGAACAACGAAAAACTCAAACATGGATTTTCAAGACTAATAATATGTACGATGAATATAAGAAAAAAAAACGTCAAATTTTTTTTATTAATTAAAATATCTTATTTTATTTTACTAAACATTGGCATCATCATGAGAAAGGAAATATAAATTAAAGTTATGAAAATTAAATTTAGAAGTAAAATTGTAATAAAAATAAATTAGTGTTCAAGTTTGCTTTTTATTTCTGTTCATCTTTTCAGCATGCTCATAAATTTAAAAATACAAACTTATATCCAATTAGATAATTCTGTGAGTTTTTTACAGACATGTAATCCCTTGTACATTCAACTTAAACCGATCAGAGATTAATTTTGTCCATATCAAAATTAACTCACCACATTTGTTGTTATTTATGTGTTGACCTTATCTTTTTTTTGGTCACTGGTTTGTACTCAGATCATGTCACAAGAGGGAAAAGGAAACTATTTATTCATTATACTTGTATTGAAGTTAACTCCTTCTTGTCTCATGAGATTCACATATTCTACAATCCGCTCAAAGAAAAAATTTTGTATATTGCGGCTCATTTTTCAGTTAACAAAAATTTTATGTACCCGTACCTAGCAAATGTGCACATTTTCTTTATTTGCCAAACGTCATTAGAAAAGTGGAATTTTATATTAATTTCAGTAATTG